ATCCCGGCGGGGCTGCTCTGAGCCGCCACATTGGTGTTGCTGCATCTCCTTGAGCTGCTATTTCTCTCCGCAGGGCGCTCCTGGCACTCCTGGGCCCCAAGGTATCGCCGGCCAGCGCGGTGTTGTTGGTCTCCCTGGACAGCGAGGCGAGAGAGGTTTCCCCGGACTCCCCGGTCCATCTGTGAGTATGCGAGGGGCTTGCTGTGCAGGACAGAGCTCGTGGGGCTGCTTCACGCAGGAGCATCCTGGGGGCCCTTGGGATGCAGCGCTGCTACATGGCCTGGAGACCTCGTTCTTGCTCAGAGAGGGCTCCAGCTGCCCGGTCCAGTTCAGAGCGTCTCCGTGGTCGGCTCCTCCTCCAACGCTGCCCCTTCCTCTCCCCCCTGCAGGGCGAACCCGGCAAACAAGGTCCCTCTGGCTCCCCTGGTGAGCGTGGTCCTCCTGGCCCCATGGGTCCCCCAGGTCTGGCCGGACCCCCTGGCGAAGCTGGACGTGAGGTGAGTAGCGGTGGCATGTGGGGGACCGTCACCACCAGCCATGCGGGAGGACACAGGCTTGGCCCTCGGTGCCAGCACAGTGGCGCTAAATTATCCCTGCTGAGCACGTGCCAACTCATAGCATCCATCGGCATCACCGAGGCAGAGCTGGGCCCAAGGTGGGCCAAGCAGAGATGGTGCCCGTCCAGGTCCTCTTGCTGAAGCCCTCGTTAGCACTCGCCTGCAGTAACGAGGGGGGTTTTTGCTCCTTCACAGGGTGCTCCTGGTGCTGAAGGTGCCCCCGGGCGTGACGGTGCTGCTGGTCCCAAGGTGAGTGCCCATGGCCGGGTTGGCTGGGAGGGGATGGTGGGGCTGAGCTGGCCTGCGCTGACATCTCTGCTTCCTCCTCCTCCTCCTCACAGGGTGATCGTGGTGAGACTGGCCCTGCTGGCCCCCCTGGTGCTCCTGGCGCCCCCGGTGCCCCTGGCCCTGTTGGTCCTGCTGGCAAGAACGGAGACCGCGGTGAGACCGTAAGTGATGCTCTGCCCCATCCTGCTCAACCTGAACCCCCTACCGGGAGCTGGGGAGGGAGGGACTTGCACCCCCTCCCTGGTGGAGGGACCCCAGAGTCCTGGCCCTCACTTCCCAGCTGTAACCACACGTCAGAGCTCGACCCCAGCCGAGCGCGGGACCCAGGAGTCCTGGCCGCCAGCCTATGCCGCTCGGCCCCGGTACTGTGTAAGGGCCGACCCGGAGGCGGGTCAGAGTCTGGCCCTCAGGCTCAGCTCTCACCGCTGGAGGGAGCTTCCCCTCCGGGCGCTGGTGAGGTCCCCAGGCATCCTGCGGACGCAGGCGTCCTGACTCCTGCGGGCCACCCTGCGCTAGGCACCGTCTGACACTGCCTGCCGCGCCGCGAGGGAACCCTCTGAGGATGCTCTAACCTGTTGTCTCTCTCTTCCTGCCCTAGGGCCCTGCTGGTCCCGCTGGCCCCCCTGGTCCTGCTGGTGCTCGTGGTCCTGCTGTAAGTTCAGCTCCTCCGTCTTTGCGCAGTGGGTGGGCGACAGCCCCACGGGCGCTGGGGCAGTGCCTGGCCCGGTACAGCCCCTCACCACTCAGAACATCATCTCTTCTTCCTCCTCCTCCTCCTCCTCCAGGGCCCACAAGGTCCCCGTGGTGACAAAGGTGAAACTGGTGAACAGGGCGACAGAGGCATGAAGGGTCACAGAGGCTTCTCCGGTCTCCAGGGTCCCCCTGGTCCCCCCGTAAGTACTGCTGCTTCCTGCGCCGGGCCAGCACTGGCCATCCAGCTGTGCTGCAGCATCACCCCAAAGGGCTTGGGGGGCTCTTCAGGGCCAATGTCTGGGTCCCCGGGGTGTCCATGTCGGTGGATGCTCCGTGGCACCCATAGAGACGCTGGAGGTGGCTGCTGGTGGAGCAGCCCTGCACAGGTCTCATTGCCTGAGCGTGTTGCCAATGGGATGTTTTCTGTTTTTGCTTTGCACAGGGTGCTCCTGGTGAACAAGGGCCTTCTGGTGCTTCTGGTCCCGCCGGTCCAAGAGTAAGTACCCCCTGCTCCCCGGGTTTGAGGATGCCTAGGACAGGACCATGGTGTCTACCCTGTCCCTGTGGGGCCCTCTGAGTGCTCACTTGCTCTTCTCTCCCTGCACAGGGTCCCCCTGGCTCTGCTGGTGCTGCTGGCAAGGACGGTCTCAACGGGCTCCCTGGCCCCATCGGTCCACCCGGTCCCCGTGGCCGCACCGGCGACGTCGGCCCTGTAGTACGTACCATCCCCACTGCAGTGCCCCAGCCACTTGCTAGCCACCGTGCCAAGCCTCCCGACTTCATCTCTGCCTCATCCTGCTACAGGGTCCCCCCGGCCCTCCTGGACCCCCTGGTCCTCCCGGTCCTCCCAGTGGCGGCTTCGACTTCAGCTT